GCGGGCAGGAAGACGTCAGCACTAGTATTTTGGCGCGACAACTTGCGGTCATCTTTGACAAGTCGATCGTGCTCATTGCTCGCTTGGCCGCATCGCGAACGCGATGGATGACGGGCAAGTACCCGAGCTTGGTCTCGAGCATCGAGAGGGAGCGCCTGAAGAGCGGGGAGAGCCGCGCTGTCTGCACGAGTGTCGAGAGCGTCATGGATCGGCTGTAGCTGCAAGCGCAACTTGATGTCCACCCCAAACCCCATTCAACCCTCATGCACAATACACAACTGTCTATCTTTCCGAGTTTGATTTACCACATGGGTAATACTGGCACCACGTCACAACGCTTTGTACGTAGTGTATGCTCTGCAACGTCGAGATGGGGCAAGTGTCTATCATGCAAGAAGCATCGACGGCTCTCTATTTGTGGCCTAGATTTGGGCTCCTTTGTGTCGACGTTTGGCCTCCAGCATATCTCGCAAGGAGGACGGACAGGCGCACACGAGCTTGTCACACACCACGTTCAGTAGTTCATAAACCAGTCGTACGTACAAGGGTACCCTTGGTACGTACATGTACCGAAATTGATGCGATGGCTCTTCGACTCGATTTGGTCTCCGACCACTGGGTGGGATCTTGGGCGACTTTGCCGAGGCGTAAACGGTGACATGGTAATCAATGGTACCGGTATTGAGCGACGCGCCAAGCCCGCAAGACGCATTGAATGACAGAGAGCTCTGCACCAACGTCGTGGGGTTGCTTGGGACTCCTCCCAGTGCACGAGGCATTGTTATGACCTTGCTTTCTAGCTTGACAGATTGTCTCAAACTTCTTGCCCTCCAGAAGAGGCTTTGGCAAGCCCTGTCGAGACAAAGACAACTAGCAAACACGAACAGATGTGTCATTAGTCGGTAAAGCGCCAAGGATGCTTCTGGTCGTTCGTGGCTTCGCGCTCAAACTCTTCCAGCGCCTCGTGGCAGCACGCCTTGGTCTCCGGAAAGTCGGGAAACTCGTCCAGCGTGATCGCATCAATGATCGCGCGCAGTCTTGCGTAATTGTACATGGGATGAGCGCTGCACCGCCCGCTGATGGCGACCAGCGACGGGTCCACATCGTCGGTGTCGTCATCCGTGCTGGTGTTCGTGTGCACGTCACCGCAGAGTTTGCGCGCGCAAAAGTTGGCGTACTTGGCGATGAAGGCCCCGAGCTCGTCCAGCTCGCGGTCGCGCTTGCGCTTGAAGATCGAGGCTTCGAGCTGTGCGAGGCGCTTGTCCCAAGTGTCGAGACGCGGGCCAAGGGCGTCATAGGTGGCATCAATGGCGTCGAAAGTGGCATCAATGGCGTCATAAGTGGCGTTGAGCTTCACGACGTCTTGTTCCAGTGTCAAAATGGCCTCCATAATAAAGGCGTTCGAACCCTTGGTCTTCGCCTGGACGTCTTGTGGCTTGGCCTTTTGCACGTTTGTGTCGTGGTTGCTGATTGTGCGGTCGTGTGGAATCGCAACCGTCTCCATCGCCAGCGATTGCTCCGCGTCGACACGGTTCGAGTCGCGATGACATGCGGCGATCGAGTCGTTCTGGAGGCCGAGCTTCTGCTGGAGGGTGGTCTTGACCGAGTCGGTCACGTCTGCTTCGGGCTCCAAGCTCGCGGGACCTGTCCTCGGACGAGCGATGTCAATGGAGAAGAAGCGTGAGCGCCGGCGCACCGTCCGAGCAAGTGTCAGGAACATGGCGGGCAAGCGCAATTTCAGAAATGTGTCGAGATCTGGATCTGGAGGTGGTCCATAAAACGGTCATGAGAAATTGAAACAACACAATTTGATTGGCTCTTGTGGAGCGATGGCATTTGACCGAACAGCATCAATTCGTGGGGGGGTTGCGTGGGGGACATATTAGATGGGTGGGGGAGGTCGGACTACAGTCGAGCGATTTCGCTCGCAAGAGTGTTGAGGTGTTTACTTTCGCCTAAATAGTGCGCCTCTTTCGCGCGCCAAGAACTTTTAGTCGTTGGTGGTTGGTTGGGTGGGGCTGCTGGCGGGCAGGAAGACGTCAGCACTAGTATTTTGGCGCGACAACTTGCGGTCATCTTTGACAAGTCGATCGTGCTCATTGCTCGCTTGGCCGCATCGCGAACGCGATGGATGACGGGCAAGTACCCGAGCTTGGTCTCGAGCATCGAGAGGGAGCGCCTGAAGAGCGGGGAGAGCCGCGCTGTCTGCACGAGTGTCGAGAGCGTCATGGAACAAGATGTAGCTGCAAGCGCAACTTGATGTCCACCCCAAACCCCATTCAACCCTCATGCACAATACACAATAGCTTTTCTAGCCGAGTTTGATTTACCACATGGGTAATACCTAACCTTAAACAACGCTTTGTACGTAGTGTATGCTCTGCAACGTCGAGAT